GCCACCCTAAGCTAAGGATGGGAATCATGCAGTCTTCCTGCTGTGCTAGGACTGCAGTTCCTAAAGCTCTAGCCAGCATATTCAGTGTGCAGAATACTGGGACTTATAGCCCAGTCACATCAGAAGGATTATGATTCCCTCACTGGCTCTCATGTATTTCCAGCTTTTTTGTCTTGCTCTCCTTATGAGTAGCTGGTGGCCCTGATATCAGTGCAGAACTGAACCTGCTCCAGGTTTTAGGATACCTTGAAGAGACTTGGGTTATCCTTTGCTTTCAGGAAGAGGTGAAGGAACCACCATACCTTCTGGTTAGAGCCACACCACCACTATCACCCTTTCTGGTAGGTGATAAATGAGAAACCAGTGGGTCAAATGGGTAATCACTAGACACATGGACCCTAATGCAAAGTGACCTCATCTCTACAAGGTGAGATGAGGAAAAGGAAGAAGATATGTGTGTACATGACTCTCTAGATTTAGATGCATATGTCTGAGTGTATTCATGCATGCATGCCTGAACAGATAGGTACACATGTGCATGAGTAGACAACTTTGCATATAAAACAGCTATCAGCATAAAGTACAGTCCTTTGGTGTAAATCAGATTTTTTAAAAGGTCCAATTTTAAAAAATACATGACGCCTTCTTTATTTAGCTGTTTTATACCCTTTCAAAAATGTATTCCAATCTAATAAGCTTATCACACTGTGTTCTCGGAATGTAATGAGTACGTGATGAGAACGGAATGGAACGTATTTTATCACCCGGTATGATCCTCATCGAGTTTCCATTCTGTGCTCTGACAGTCCCTAGCCTGTTCCAGGAGGAGAACTGTAAAAATGTGTCCTCAGCCAGGAAGAACACTTTCAGACCATTCCAGATGATGTGTGTGCAATAATCCTACCCAGTCTCAATCTGTCCTCATGTTCTCATTGGCTAAGACAACCTCCTCCCCTCCCCTCCTGTCCCAGAACATCCACAAACTCAACTCAACTCTTCCAGCGTTGATGCAAGCAAGGTGCCACAGGCACTTTAATTTTTTTTTTAATTTTTATAGATTGAATTGCATCGTGTTTACAAGAAAAAGCAATGAATGCTCGCTACCAAAACCTCTCGATAGCATTTCCAATGCAGACATAGGGGTTTTCGCAACAGTGAGCATGCACCAATGAGGGACAGCTGAGGAACTACTTTGGCACTGGTACTGGTACAACAGTAGATGCTGTGCGATAATATGTGTTTTCATAACATTACTATCGCATTATCAATAGTCTAATGCGTAACAACCATTCCCATATCGTTACATCCCAGGGACTCGATGGGAACGTTATAGGTACAGGTGCAATAAGCTTATGAGTTTAAAACAGTTTAGATCTAGTTTCTAGGTATATCTGGAAGAACTACATCAGTAAGACTGAACAGGAACATGCACAGATTCTAACTGGAGCAAGCGTTAAGAGTGTTCTTCTGTATAAGGTTAAAATGATTGGAAGATTTCAGAAAACATAATACAATCATTCCTCATCCTGTGACAGCTCTATGACCACTCAACAAAAGTGCTATGATTCCACTTTAATTGCCATGCCTGCATCCCATGGAATCCTGGAGTTTGCAGTTTGATAGGTCCTTAGAGTTGTCTGACTGAGAATTCTAAGTATCTCTCCCTAATCTGCAAATCCCAGGATTTCATAAAATGTGGCTATGGTAGTTAAGGTGGAATCATATAAGCTTATCACACAGCACTTAAGGAATGGGAATGGAATGGAAGGGAAGGGAATGGAATGGGGCAAAAATGCATTTTACTGCACGGGAAAACGCCACCGATGACGCTGGGAGTCCTCAAGGCATTCTCCAGCCGTTCCTGGCAGCCGATTTTGAAGAACAATTTTGAACCATTCTAAATCTGCCTTGTTAAAGAACATACTCCAAAAAATGACAAACATGGCCTTTGTAGTTTAAAAACAAAAAATTATGGCTTTAATAAATGCATACATAACAAACTAAATCCTATCCTAACTGGTGGATAAAGAGATGAAATGAAGAGATGAAATCTATCTTTACTATAGCAGGAAGAGACTGAACCTCACTCAGAGGACAATGTTATTCCAACCTAGACTGAGAGGAGACTGTTTAGAATCTTGAGAGGGAGTCTGTTAAACAGTCTCCAAGAGTGAGTGACAGGAGTCGCACATGTTTAGATAGAATGTGATAGATAGAAGGAAGTCCCTGTCTATCTAAGGAGGGAAAGGAGAACGTAATACATAAAATTTCCAACAGGAATTCTTATCTACTGGTAGATGTACTCCTTTGAAACCCAGTCCATTCTAAGGCCATGCAAGGATTTTAACCTTGGTGTCCCTATGTTCTAGTGGAGGGGTCCCCACACTTTTTTATCCGGGGGCCGATTCGCCGTCCCCCAGATCTTTGGAGGGCCGGCCAGAGGTGTGCACGCACATGTGCACTACTCGGGTGCCATTTTGTGTTCCAAAATGGCGCCCGGAGTCATGCGCATGCACCTGCCGTCGCCAGGTGCCATTTTGGAACACAAAATAGCACCCTGCATCGCGCGTGTGGCGGCGGTGGCAGCGGCAGCAGGACCGGCCATGGGCCGGTCGAAAGGCCTCGGCGGGCCGGGTTCGGCCCGCGGGCTGTAGTTTGGGGACCCCTGTTCTAGTCTAACACTCAAGACCATTATACCACACTGGCTCAGTAGTGATATGAAAGTTTTTAAAAACCCACCAAAATAGTTTTCTTTTAAAAATACCAATAATTATAAGTATAAACTCATTTTGAAAATAAACCTATGAATGAATATATTCAATAGATATGTATTTATTTTTGAATAGCAAAATGGAAACAGTTTAGAAAGCCATATTAATACACACATTATATTAATCCTTTAACTCAGTGCTCCATTGTTTGCTACACTGCCTTATTGGCGCTAGGCAGAATTTTACTAAAGGGTTTAAACCAGCTGAGATAGTCTTGTGCTACCACCTAGTGGACATAGGTTAAATTATCAAACGAATTCACTTTAATCAATATTCATTTTCCCTATAGTTAAGGCTGCACATTTTCTATGAGTGAACACAATTGTATTTGCTTCTGAGTAGACAAGCACAGGATTGCACAGCAATTCACTTTTCAAGGCAGCTTTTTAAAATTAATACCTTCAGAGCAGCAAGTCAGTAGGTTTGAGCATTGAACAATAACTCAGAGACCTAGCTTCAAATCCCTGCTCAGCCATGGAAATCCACTCAGTGACCTCGGGCAAGTCACACTCTCTCAGCCTTAGAGAGATGCATTGGCAAACTTGATCAAATCTTGCCAAGAAAACCCCATGACAAGGATCACCGTTAAGTCAGAAACAACATGAAGGCACACAACAGCAACAACAAACCTTCAAAACAATCCTCTGTCAAACACCAACAATAGAAAAATGATTGTACATTAATTTTAAAGTTATTTGGTTTTCAAGCTTGAAGTGGTTAAAGGTAAAGAAAAGGTAAAGGTAGTCACTTGACATGACTGTCTAGCCATAACCTACTGTAGGGGGTGGTGCTCATCTCTGTTTCTAAGGCAAAGAGCCAACATTGTCTGAGGATTGCTCTGGTGGTCATATGGCCAGCATGATTGCACCGAATGCAGTTTACCTTCCCACCAAAGTGGGACCTATTAATCTACTTGCATCTGCATGCTTTTGAACTGCTAGGCTGGCAGAAGATAGGACTAGTGATGGGAACTCACCCCATCATGCCGCACCTGGGCCTTGAACTGCCAGATTTCTGATCTTCTAATAGTAAGAACTGGCATCTTAACTACTAAGCCACCACATCCCTGTGGTTACACTCATATTTATGTATGATATCCAAAAACAGCTGGTTTGAACACCCCATTTCTTTCCAGATAACGGTGATACTGCAACTCCTATCAGCCCCAGGCAGCATAGACAGTTATAAGGAATTCAAGTGTTTGCAGAACTGCAGTTTCTCTGCCTCCAAAAACCAAAGGTTCAAGATTTAGCAGAGAAGATCTTCCACACATAATATTTTCTTCCGAATCAGCCCCACACACACCTGTAACACGTTGTCGTTGTTGTTTGTCTTCAAATTGTTTTCAACATATGGCAGCCCTAAGGTGAATCATCTGAGCAATCCAATTCGACTGCAAATCAACTTTTTAAAACTGAGCCTAAACTGCAGACTGCAAGGCCATAACATTTATTTATCACCTAGCCTTATGATGAGCTACAGAGAATTCAAAGTTTTGTATATTTTTGTGACATTTTGGTTGTGCCTAACAAATGTATCCACCAACAGTTGACTCTGGGTTGTTTTCTCATGAACCAGCACAAATATTTTTGTTTTGTTTTTTCACATGTTGATGATAATAATACTGATCCACTCTGGAGGGTGGCTCTCCACATGTTGGAGTGCAGCTCCCAGCATCCCTCACTATTGATTAGCTTGGTTGGAGCTCATGGGACTTGCAATCTGACAATATTGGAAAAGTCACACAGTGACAGCACTGGGAAGATTTATAAATTTATTGAAATAGTGCATATTGAATACTTTGAACAATATCTACATAATCAGTACTTTCTGTTCATTGATAGAATAGACGACACTCAGAGAATAGACTCCTTCTGCAACCTCTTTGCCCCCCAAATCTCCAATTCTATCATTGAAGGTTAGGAACCTTGTGTAACAAATTTGGGAGCAATGCAAGCAGAAATCTACTCATGTGATCCTGGGCAGAACCTCCAGTCCATAGACAAGCACTCGCACTGATGCTCACACTCATGAACACAGCAGGCTGGGTTCACATTCCAGCAAAGCATCCCAAGTTTAGAGAGCTAGCATGGTGTAGTGGTTTGAGTGTTGGACTACGACTCTGGAGACCAGGGTTCAATTCCCTGCTCGGTCATGAAGCCCACTGGGTGACCGTGGCCAAGTCACATGCTCTTAGCCTCAGGGAGAACGCAATGGCAAACTTCTTCTGAAAAAAATATTGCCAAGAAAACCCCCTGACAAGGTCGCCATTAGTTGGGAACAACTTGAAGACACACAACAGCAACAACAACAACAGCAACAGCAGTCCTAAATTTAGCATGTGGATTTTTTCACAAAGTCCTTTGCAAAGATTTAAACAACAACCTGTAGACATATGGATGAGGAACAATTTGAAAATGACTTTCACAAACACTAGGCTAAGTCTGTATTTTTAAGAACATTAGCATGGGCTGCTGCCACACTGCAGAAATAAAGTA